GCTTGAGGGGGGGTTGGTTGGGGCTGGGGGGCTTGAGGTGGGGTTGGTTGGTCCTAGGGGGTTTGATGGAGCCTGGTTGGAGCTGAGGTGCCCAGGAACTACACAGGGTTGCCAGCCCCAGCACCTCCACTGCAGCCCAGAACCCAAATGTCTCACCATGGATCTTCCATCATCACTGGGAGGGGTTCAGTGGCTGCAGGAGCCTGGGATGGGGGTGATGGGGCAAGATATGGGGTTTATCAAGGAAAGGGGTGGCCGTGTTGATGGGAGGGAGAGGTGAAGAGGCTGCCTTGGAGTTGCAGAGCAGCCCACCCTGGTGCTCCTGTGGTGGCTGCTGGAGGATGATGAGCAGAGATGGACAGTGATGGACAGAGACACCTCGAGCTCGGCGGGGGACATGACTGAGGGTGAAGCTGCCACCAGCCCAGCAGGGACTCCAGCACCAGACCATGGAGCCACGTCAGCACCAGACCTGGGAAGGCCACTAGGAGCACCTGAATCCAGCTTGATTAGCTCTGTCACCTGCCTCAGTGTCACCCTCCTCCCAGGAGATGAGGGGTCAGAGGCAGTGACACTGGTGCAGTTAAAACAAGATGTCTCCTGATGGAAGGAGGTGTCAGATGACAGGGGAGCACCTCAAGGCCAGCAGGACAGTGACAGGTCCTGAGGATCATCCCTGCAGCTTTAGCACCTGATCAATGGCACTGATTGGTTTAGAGAGAGACCTGTAGCTTCTTTGTAACTCACCCAAGCAGGTTCAAACCAACTAATCACCCAAACCTTACACCTGGTACCCTGTGTTGTCAAGAAAAAGTTGTTAATTCCTAGTAAATTTGGGTTAAAAACTAGTACTGATGTTTGGTAACTCCTACCTGGAAGTTTTTATACACAACCTCCTTTGACTGAGCTCTGAGTGTCACCAGGACACAAGTTTGTTGTCACCTTTAACAACTGCAAGGACCTACAGCAGGAACAGTGGGAATGTCACTTCCAAGCTGTGTCCCACAGCCCCCCCACCCCAACCAACCACACCCCCCAAGTCCCCCCCAGCCCTGACATGCCCCCCCTGTCCCAACCCCTCAGACTTCCTGACCCAAACCCATCACCACAGCCG